TATTAGCATTTGTAAAGTTTGTAAGTTTAAAGAATACTGTAAAACGGTAACTATCGATAGTTATGTTTTAAGTCACATCGTCAGAATATTTACTTTCTTTTTTAAAAACAAAAAACATAAAATTACTAATAATAAATAATTTTATAGAAAACTTTATACTCCTTTATTTAATAATATGCTCATTGATGCTTAAATATCATAGATAGTTAAACTTTTAACTGTTTCGTATAATAACATATCATGAGATCTTATACTTTCACGAGTATTCATTTAAATAAGACTTTTGTATTACTACGCGTTTTTTATTATTGTTTAAACTTCATACAATATGGTCTGCCCGTTATTACGGTTAATGCAAAGTAATCAAAACGTCGAGTGTAGTAATTCGAAAAAATTAGTTTTTGTATAATATAGCATGTACATAAAGATAATATTATTAATAAAAATATATCACTGTGTAACGCTTATTGTATAAATAGCGTGATTTTAAACCCATAGTAAGTTACAGTAAACATAGTAACATTAGTAAAATACTAAATAAACATTTTGTACAAATGATTTCTGTAAATGCAGTTATAATAAGTATTCCACAGTATGAATTCAGCTTGGCGTTGTCTCGTGTGCCTTAATTGGATGAATAAATAAAAAAACATTTCACCGACGAAATATACGAAATTTTATTATACTTATGTTTTGTTTTTAACTTTGTTAACATAACCAGTTGAATAAAAGTAAAATAACTGTAATATCAAAAAGTAAAATTCCAAAGATATGTAGCGTTATTATCTTTTGTTGAATAAACTCTTGAAAGGGCGATGTATGATTTTAATAAACGTCCTAATTTTATAACGACAAGTTTTTATTATCACATTATTTTTATGACACTAATTTCAGTGGTTACTTGAAAATGTAACAGAATTTAAGCCCAATAATGTGAGGCATAATTTTATTACTACCGAATTTCAAACTTTCATTTTAAAGTACGGCCATATGACATGTGCATAACCAACTAACTACCCGAGAATTATAATAATTTTCTATATATATATAGTTTGTAAGGAAATTGTTTACAGTCGATGTTTTAATTTGTTTTGTAAGGAAGTAGCCTCAATATTAACCTTAGACAGATTATTTTCTATCAATTGTATTTTCTCAATTTGAATATTATCTTTTGATTCACCAAAACTGTTCTCACTAGAAATAATACATTATTGTGGTACTTATGTAATAATCATTTGGATCAATATATGAAGATCTATATGTCGTTAGGTAATTACTTATAAACAATAGGAACTGTATATAAAGAAATTGTGGTTAAACATATTATGTAATTCTTTATTAAAAGTAGAAGTAAAGTATTTTTGAAAATATTTTGCTAAAAATATAAGGTTAAAAATATAAGGTTAACTGTAACCTTTTCATTGACATCATTGTATAATGAAAAGTCAACGGAGAAAACCTTAAAAATAATACCTAGAGAGAAAAAATGTATTTCATACAGAACATTGTAGGGGAACTACTGACTTTTCAAATTATCTCAAAGAAGTGGCCTCTGCTTATTCAGAAAATGTTTAAAGAGGTTTTGTCGATTGAAAATACTCCTATTATGTAATTTAAAACAATGTAATTTTAGAAAAAAGATGTTCAACTAAGGTGACAACTGTATTTTAGAAAGTATATAGAATTATCTCTTTTTGGTATAATTAATTATTTAAATCTCTAAGATGATTTATATACGCAGAGAGAACAAAGTATCACAACAAATTGCAGTAGAATGGACAAAGGAAAGGAATAATGTCTAAAAGTAACTAACATTATTATACCAAGTGAGAGAAAAATTTTATAGGAAATATAAAGTAGTTTCCATATTTGAGTTAAATAATGTTAACAATGCAAAAGATTTGGACTTTACATTTTTCGCAAGGTATTTTTCGTTTATAACCGGTTCTAGGTTTTAAATAAGTTACTTTTTTCAAATTTTACAGATGCCTCTGTATGATAATATAAAAAACACATCCCCATTTACTATTCCCTATTTTGTGACAAAAAAATATGTTATGAATATTAAAGAGTAAGCGTCGAATGTATGAAAAATTAATAACTTTATGTAAGAATATAGTTTCTTTTAGAAAACTTTTTCTATAAACGTGAGATGTAGTGAATATATTATAGTAAGTAAACATACTTATTAACCATTATATACTACGTAAGCTAATTTTGTACCTATTTAATGTACGATCTATTAGAAATAAAGACAGTATCTATTCAGCAGTCTCGGCTTTCATTCCTCTCTCAGGGCACCACATTACAAACGTAATGGCAAGTCTTATTTAAATAATTGACTTTTAGAAGGAAATTTAAATACTCACCTTACAATTTGAGTTATAACTTTATAACACACATTTAAGCCGAGGTATGTAAGATAACCAGAATCTGTTGTATATAAAAGTTAAATAATAAATACATATATGGTGAAGAAGCACAACCATCGATGGTTTTAAAAATAAGATGCCAACATTACTAATATCACGAATACCTTGATCTTAACAATCGTCCATTTTGTAGATTTGTGAAGAGACCCCGTTGACATTTCAACACTCTGTACTAACACGGGAAGTACCTATTAGACATCAACCCTCTTTAGGAATCAGCATTAATCAGTGATGTCTAAATACTTTTAGAAAGTACATATGACTCGGAAAAATCACATTGGTTCTTGCCCGGGCCAGGATCGAACCCGCGGTCTCGTGCATGAGAGGCGGGCCCTTTAAACCACTAGGCCACCACTGACTACCACTTAAAATAATTATTATATTCATCTATATCTGTTTGTTTGTATACAGTGATAAAATTCAAGTTTCAGTAACAACTAACGAACTAAATAAAAGAGAAATGCGCTAACCTAAAACTGGCTCCCAACTTGGTTCGTGATTTCACAAAGTTTAGAATGAGGTTTTTAGTATATTACTTTATGCTTTCATAAGTTTTGTATTGTGCAACTTGATATCTGTCTATAAAAAATAAAAATTTAAATATTTTTTACTTTGACGTGCTTTATATTTGCTGAGAGGTTTCTTCTCATAAGCAAGGAATGATAAAATTGTTAATATAAAAGACGTTGTTTTAAATGTAATTTAGTATTTTGATGCAACTTTACAAAATATTTTTCTCTGATATTCTTAAAAACTTTAAATATACAAGCTTTTGTAGTAGTAGATTTTACGTGAAGGCCGTTTTACGTCCATACATCATCAAAAGACACTAACTGTGGGATCTATTATACAAGAAGAATGCAATTAAAGAAAGCATGGCTTTAGATATGGACTAATAAATTTCGTTAAATATAAAAACGTCCAATAACACGAATTGTTTACGAAAATTTACTAGTGGAAATCTATTTATAATAAAGTTTATTTTAACATCATATATCATTGAACTAAAAGTATAATTAAATGCTAATTCCCTCCTAGTTCTTTTTTTAATAGCCTAAAATGTATTTTACTTTATTAATTCCGATGGTATGATTAATTTCTCATAGGACTTAACATTATTCTGACTATATTTTAACATCCAAGTCTAGACATCCAACGAATACTCGATAGCTGATCTGTATTCGGTCTAAGCGTTTGTTTTAATGATTTTCGGCCGAAAACTGAATATTCAAGTAAAAAATTTTATAATGTACAAAACACTTCAAGAATTCAAGCCGGTATCAAATAAGTTTGCTCTGTTTATAATATAATTTTGCCGCATATTCTGTGAATAAAATGGTTATGTAGCTTAGCGTTTAGAATCAGAATTCAGATACGGAGCTCGATTTATCATAACATGTACTATTTATACACTGTTTCTTTTATATCGAGACTTCTTATAAAAATAAGGAATGACAAGGGAAAATTTACTAGTTTGAGTACTCCGTTGAGGAAACTAGTGCTGATTATAAATTATCTCAATATGGTTAAAAATAAAAAGTGAAGCGTTACTTATAACAGTACATGTAACCGTAAGGGACTGTCGGCCCATTAGCTCAGTTGGTTAGAGCGTCGCGCTAATAACGCGAAGGTCGCGGGTTCGATCCCCTCATGGGCCACATCACCTTTTATCATTTTAATTATGGGTTTCTTTTAAATGTCTTCAATGTTTTCATATTTTCACAAAAATATGTTAAATAAAACATATTGTATAATTCTTGGCCTTCCGAAGTACACTTTAGACTCGGTTTTATCAAAAAATGTTAAATAAATAAGGTCTTATTAAGGCGTTTGAATGACTGTTAATTGTGACGAGGGTCCCTTCTTAACAAGTCTTTAATATTAATTCCTGCTCTAAAGGTTCATCAAATGGATGATGGACTGTTAATCGTCGCATTGACAAAACGCAAATGGCAATCGCAGTTTACTACTTCCTAAATTGTGAATTTTGTAATAATAATGTTTATCATCATGAACTCGAAACGATATTGACAAACTTAAACAATTGAGACATTTTACATAGTATTGCACACCGACCAAAAACCTTTAGAGAACGGCGGGGTTACTTTGAAGAATACGAAGATTTTTTTTCAAAAGATTTTGGTTATTAAAAGAATGTACTCTAGGTTTTGGCAATTAATAGAATACAAATTTGGGCAACCATCAAATCGGTAAGTGTATACTTAATTTAAGGTTAAAAAATATGGCTTAAAGCTTATCTTTGACCAATGTCAATAATTTATTGTCAATACAATAAGGTATTATATAAAACCACATACTCCCGATGTTTCGGTTACTTTACAGTAAGTGATCAAGCGCAAACGAGAAATAAAAAATCGCGTAGTAAATCCGAAAATATTCGTTTCATTTAAGAACGAATAAATTGATAATCTGTCATTTAACAATAGAGACGAAACTACTAAGCATTCCATGGATTCACCGTGCGGGTGCCGGGTCCATCGCGTTGCAGGGAGAGGAGCTTCAACAGTGCCTGGGACTTGCGACCCAAGTGTAGGTTTAAGGGGCCCCTTAACTAACGCGCGTTATACGCTCACCTCCACTGTCCAAGCTCCTCTCCCTACCTAACCAAATTTGAAAAGAACCTACTAGGGCTGCCTTCGATATACGTTCCAAGAATGCATTAATGTGAGTTCTGGACAAGCCCAAGTCCTTTAGTAGGTTGTAGAGAGATTTCGCTGTTATACCTCTCGCTCCCACCTCTACCGCGTACAAATCTACTACGAACCTATTTCGAGTGAGTTCGTTTGTGAGCTCGTAATATTTGTTGACCTTGATGGTATGGTCTTTGGGGATGTTGGTTTCCCAAGGGACCGTAAGCTCTATCATCACTACGCGCTTTAAAATTCGCGAAAACAAAAATATATCCGGTCTGGAGGCCGACGCACAAATATCCTCGGGGATTTTATATTGCTTTTCATACGTGTCCATCATTATAGTCCAATCCGACGCCGCTTTAAGGATGGAGTAAGGCTTGACGTTTGATTTTGTAGCCCTAGTGCCTTCTCTCACAAAACCTACTGATCGTTCGTTTGTGGTTATTTCCTTTTGCGCTCTGGCTACCGAAAGACTAACCGCTTCACGTATGACTTCTAGAACCCTATCGTGACGACGCGAGTATTGGCCTCTGTCCAGGAGTACCTTACATCCCACCAGCAGATGCTTAGCAGTTCCAACTGCCTTTCCACAGATATAGCAAGTTTTTTCGGTACTTTTAGTTACTTTTAATTTTTCATCGTGGCACGTAAATATCTTGACAAACTTATATTTTTAAAGATTTATTAATAAATGACACGTTTAAATTTAAGAAAAAGAGGTTGATGGAAATGGGTCTTAAAATGGTTTTTTATCTTATATAAATGCATAATTTTTTTAACATTATATAATGAAGTGGCTTGTTATTTTAAATGAATGATTTAAATGTATTACATATCTCTGAAAGCTAAGAATCAGACGACAAAGGCTGAATCTTCGTCTTGTATAAGTAATTACCTTCAGAGACACAAAACAGCTATTTATCATTACTTTAGTTTGCAAACGGCAGATTGGTAACAATTCCTAATTTGTCTTGACTTGTTTTAAACTCATTGTTCTTCGCTAACTTTGTCAAGTCAAAATAAAAGGTTATTTAACTTTCGAATTTAAATAAGATATTATTACCTTTGGAACGTTGGAACTTAGGTTTTTATAAAAATATAAAGAAAATGAAAATGAGAAAAGTATGTATTTACTTTATATGACATTTTAATATATTTCAATATTTGTTTCATATTAAAGGGGTTTGATATTTCTTTCTTCTTTCTTCTTTAGTAAAAATATTTGTTAGTTTTAAAACCTCATATAAACTCATATATTTCTGGATGTTTTATTTTAATAGTTAAAAGTATAGAAAGTAATTCGTTTGAACATGTAACAAATTATAATGTAATTTAGCTTATAAATTTTGTATTGTATCTTGACAGGTTATTTAAATAATGATATAGAATTTTAACAAAACAGTCCAAAGAGTTTTTAATTAAAATATCATGTATTAAATAAGATTTATAGTTGACATTGTAAATAATATTTTACTGTGTTCAAAAAGCTACAAAAATATCGGCAAATACACTTCTAATATCCAATTTCGAAAATTTTTTTTTTTCATTAAAATAGATTTTATTATTTTATTCTATTTCTAGATTCTTGATCTATATAACCAGATTCTAGATTTTATTATACTACTTTTAGTATAAAATCGGAAAATATTTAAAGAAAATGACTTGAAGAACACTAATTTATAATTAATTATTATTAACATAAATATCTGAGTATAGAATGAGATGATAATAATAATTTCGGATTTTCTACGCGTTTATTATTACTTTAAAATACATACCCCTGACGATGGAAGGTCTATGGAAGCGTTTTCAACTTGTCTGCCCGTGGAAACGGCTGCTGTAAAGTTATTGAAACATTACGAAAATGTAAAATAAAATATATAAAATAAAATAAAGTATACAGTTTATTTTAATTCTCATAACAATATGCATATTTTCTAGCTCTCAAGTTGAACTGCGTTGACTTTGAACATATAAATACTGCTCTCTATAATTAATTATTTCATTAATTAACTACAGAGGACATGTAAAACCTTAAGAAAGCTCTTGTTTATAAAAATACAAAACTTGGCTCTTGAAGACACGCGTCTTATACCAACTGTTAGAAAAACATTCTAGGGAATCCATTTTCCTTCAAATATGTTTTATTTTCTGACATCACGTAATTTTAAGAGACACAAACGTGAAACAACATTATAAGTTCGTGAAAAATAAAAAATGTTTTGTTGAATGTTAAAATATTATTAAATTAGGAATTATAGGATACATACATATTTACTTGGTTTTTTAGTAGCTACGATATAAGTTCTTTTTAAGACGGTATAGTTTCATTTACATTTATATAAAACTAGCAGATCCGATCAATGTTGTTTGTATTGTCAAAGATATTAAAGGATTTGTATGATAAAGTAAATTATTCATTAATACAGCTAATATACGCGAATTTAATACAAAGTTACTTTAGAAATATTAGTTCTTTGCTAATGATATTATAGTTTTGATGTGAGATTCTTTTTAAATCACTGACAGTTATTTCAATCGTGCTCATCAAAGTGCATTAATGTATATAGTTGTTAGGTTTTGCTACAATATCTTAGTTTCTGTGTAGTTTTATGAATTTAATTAATTTAAGAAAGTTAAAGATAAGGAAAGAACTGGAAAACTTTAAAAGAAGATGAATGACTTACGTAAAGCGACTTTCAAGTCACATTGTATAAAAAATTCGTTCATTTTTAAGTTTTATATATTATATACACAACAATCGGTCAGCTTTTAAAGAAATATTTCCTTGAACTACAATTTCAATTACTGTTTATGCTGAATTGGTTATACATATATATTTTTATCTATGCTAATAATTTAACCTTTATTAAACATTCGAAATTAAATGATTTCGTTAAATAATAACATATGGAAGTAACAATAATATTACGAAACTTAAATATGAAAAATATATAAGATAAATATTGAAAGAAGGAAGAGAAAATGAGGTGATTTACCGTAAGAGTGACAAACGGGGTGAATTTTTTCCTCTTTAGATATGTTCTATAACAATCTAAGAGTTGAGGTAAAGGTCACAAGTTTAAAGATATTTATAGACAATTTTGAATGTAGAAAAGAATGAATTTTAAAATGAAATTCTTAATTCATTCAACTAACAGAATTTTAATTGAGAAGATCATTTAGAATGCATAATTAGTTACATTCATTTAACACTTATTCGACAAATGTTACTATATATCATTAATTTATTTAATAAATAGTTAATAAAGTTATAAAAAATAATAATGAGATATTTTTGTTTCGCAATTAATATTAATTAAATTGTAATTATATATATATTTTGGTACGAATTGAGACATATTCTGAGACTCTTAATGAATCAAAGATGTGATTACTGAGATTAGAAAAACTTTGATTACACGGATAATAGTTATTTGGGTCTAGATCAATGTTCAGAGATATTTTATTAGGAATGCTAAATTACAATACAAGATTTGTAGAGAGATGAAAACATTTTAGTGATCTCATTGTCTTAATGGTATATGTTTGAGGAATACAAAAATACACATACTATGATATATATTTTTAATACTATTCAACAATCCAACATTAAAGGAAGATATGATTCTTGTGGTGAGATTACTAATATACATATATATGAAGATTGAATAAATATTCTTGCGATATTTGTAAACATAAATTAATAGTTTTTCTATCTTTATATATGTATAAAAGAACGTCGTGTTATGTACATATGTATTTATAATTCAAGAAAGGCTGTACGGATTTGGCTGATAATTGGTGGAGAGACAGCTTAGAACAAGGGAAAGGACATAGGATACTTTTTACCGATTGAAAAACAACAAAAAAAGTTGATAAAATCCAAATTCTTCTTATTTACTTTATTTAAGGAGGAATAGAGTTCGCGCGGTCGGCTATAGATTTTGAATTCCGTAATTAACGCCGACAAAGTCGCGAGCAAACACCAGTTAGTTTATAAAAAATATGTCAATTCTAATATTCAAAACGTGAATAATTTTAATTAACCTATTCTTTAAAACAACTAGAATTTTATACGCATAGAATATATTAGCTTATGTATTTGTATTGTAACTTAGTGATAATATTAGTCAATAATAGTAATTATATGAAGTACCGATCATAGCTTCATCACTGAATATATAACTGATATTTCAGCTTTGTTTATGTTTCACGACAATGTGTAATAGCAATTGATAAACTTGATATTTGTAATTGTAACCTCGTCTGAACCGGTTTCAGTATTGGTAAGTTCAAATTTGATCCACTTCTATTATAGGTGGAACAAAAAAAGGAGAACATTTTATTCATGTGTTTGTTGTGGTGTTTTGGAATCTATGTATCGTAAAACGTTTGGAAGGCCAAGGTTTGACGACCTCTTAAATAATTGAGGTTTGAACAGATATTACATCGTAAAGGGATATTACCTGTAATTGTTTAAGGCATAAGACAGATCCCACCCAGAGTAGTTTTTTTTATTGTGATCAGAGAATAAAATGGAATAACAGTGAAATTGAAAAAAAAAATACAATAGTTAAAAAAAAGCATAGAAGTTTTTTATAGGCTAATAACTGATAATTATATGAAGACGACGAAACCTCTTAGCATCCAATGGATTCACCGTGCGGGTGCCGGGTCCATCGCGTTACAGGGAGAGGAGCTTCAACAGTGCCTGGGACTTGCGACCCAGGTGTAGGTTTGAGGGTCCCCTATTTAACGCCATCTAAACGCTCAACTCCACCGTCCAAGCTACCTAACCAAATTTGAAAAGAACCTTCCAGGGCCGCCTTAGAAGTACGTTCCAAGAATGAATTAATGTTAGTTCTGGACAGGCCCAAGTCTTTTAGTAGGTTACAGAGAGATTTGGCCATTATGCCTCTCGCTCCCACTTCTACCTCCTGTTCATATCATTTCATTCCGTTACAAAGTATGATTATAAAGATATACTTGCAACACCAATAATAACATATATGAATAATGATGTGATCATAATAATCAAGGTTCGAGTACATAAATAGGTCTCGTAACAAAGAGATTCTTCCAGTAACATTTCACCTCAAATAAAACCACTTAAAATTTCCCGATTCAATTCAGCAAATTAGCGGAAAAATATTTAAGTATTAAGAAAAGCACAAAAGAAATCTTTTGCCGAATGGATAGGTTTTATTCAGCAGATTTTAATTAAATATCTGCAGACGAACAAGTTAGTTCCTTGCATGAGTTCCAAGGTTTTACGAGTCTCTAAATGTCAAAGTCTCGGTTACTTTCTTCGTTTGTTTTATAAAATATTCATTAATTAAAACTTATTCTTTAAAAGTGTTATTTTTTATAAACTAACATAAATGACAGAATTACTTTTCACTGTATAAAAGATATTAGGACATAAAATATGTCAGTAAAATTTTCTGTTAAAAGATTAATGTAAACCAATTCGTTCCCATTAGTATTATTGTAAATAACACCAAGGATAATTTCATTACCATTAACATAACAAATATAATCTTATATCTTTAAATGAGTAATTTTTGTATATGTATTATATATATACATACATATATAACTGGAATCTCGGAATCGGCTACATTGATTTTCATGAGATTTAGTATATAGGGATTTAGGGGGCGATAAATCGATCTAGCTAGGAATCATTTTTAGAAAATGACATTTTATGAAAAATAAAAAAAAATTGGCGTCTGACTCGTTCTGACATCTATTGGCGAAAATAATACTACTTTCTGGTTATTTCTTTTACTAATTGCTTTAACGACACAACAGCAGATAGCGTTGTTAAGTACCAGGAAGTCAATGAGTGTTTGTTTTGAAATTAGACTAAGAAATTAATTGTTGATTTATAATGTTTTGTGTCTTCTTAACGTGTTCACTTAAAAATGCCTAAACGAAATAAAAAAACACAAATAAATACTTATAATTCCTAAATACAGAGCAAAGCTCGGTAACCAGATATTCTAGTTACACTACTTTATTTTGTTTTCAAAAGAATTACTAAAATCTGAAGAAAATGGAAAATTATCTTAAACGATATATTTGTTTTAAGAAAAGTATTATATTATATATTTAATGTAACTATTATTAATATATGCTGT